TCCACTAGATGTGGAGTGAACAGGCTTTTCTTTTTCAATTGTGTGAATGGAGGTTGTTTTTGTGTAGAATTCTCATTACAGGTGAGCAGATCAACTAATATATCCAGTGCCCCTATATCAGAGGCTTGTAGTCCTAGATCTTTGGCCCTTTTATCATCTTTCATCTGATGAAATTTGTGCAGAGCCAATTTTCTTGCAAAAAGGTGTATGTCCTTTGTCCAACCAAATTTGTCAAAATTAGAAACTGGGACAAAGGACATACCCCGTTGCAAGATCTGTAGCTCAACTTTTGTGGGAGTGTAGGAAGACCGATTGATAATCTGATTATCAAGAGGGGCCTGATCTAATATCTTTTTCTTCTGAACTGTTGGGGTGGTCTGCCTCTGTTGCGTGTCCGTGGGGCTAGATTTTCTTCCATGGTGGGTTGTCCTAAAAAAGAAACCCCCCTTTTTAATATACTTTTAGTATTCCGTTCAAATGGAACTGAAGGTCCCCCCTTTGCTGATTCTGAATCCGAACCACTCGTCTCATATTCTGATGTAGATATAGGTTCAGAAAAGCTCCTCCTAAAGTTTCTATTTTTCTTATATACATTCCCACTCTTGAAATCATTGTTATCTCTAATAAACTTGGAGTGTTTCCGAATTTTAATATTTTGCTGGAATTTGTCCAAGTTATTTTTAAGTTTTATCTCCAATGATTCAAAGTTTGGTTCGTCTTTAAAGGCTGCAATCTTATTAATCTGCTCATCCACCTCCTTATTAACTCTTTCTAGTCTTTTTGTTTCAAATTTGCAAAGTATCTCCATAAATCTCTTAGAGCATATTGCTGCAGCTTCCTCCCACTCTTTGGTAAATTCCTATATGGGATGCTGGTATGTTTTGTACCCTTAGACCCCTAGGGATAAGATCTTTCTTTAAATAGTTGTCAAGTGATGCAATTTCCCATCCTGTTTTGATCTGTTGCTGAAACAGGTTGGTCAAACGATTAAATGATGAGATAATATTATCACTATCTGACACATTAGTTAGTTCTTGTTCTGAAAAAACCTGGTCTGTGTCTCTACACCACACATCTCTTTTGGACTTATCAAATAAAAAGCTAGCCATGATACACAGGAATGGTACTAGGTATTAAAACCTGACACTAAGAAAAAAAGAAGAATAATGAACACACGGTTCAAATGTCTCTGTGTATACACCCGTACAGAACTATCCCCCGTAGGTAAAACCCAGGGTGTACCGACAGGTGCCCCACAGAGATCAGTGTACCAATATGGGACTCCAGAGATACCAAACGGGGCTTAACCCCAAGAACAACAACAAGGAAGATATAAAGCACAATGCGGTTCGTCTTCCTATGTCATAGGGACTAACCACACATCTGGAAATGTCTATCGCAATATAGCGTCTAATGGAAAAATAACTAAAGACCCAAAAACAAAAAAGTTAAATAAAGTATATACAAATGTGACTCAAATTCCATGCCTGATAGAGGGGGTATAGGTGGGGGTAAAATTGAGCCATTCAAATTGCTATCATAAACCCTAAATTATCTGCTTTATTAAATAATGGCACTATAGGGGTATGAAAAGCAGACGGCTATGTCCCCAACTGACTACCCCACTCCAAAATGTCAAAAGTTAGGATCTAAAAAGATGCTCACGGTAGAGCTAGTAAGGTAGAGTGGAGAGATAGACGATGAAAAACAGATCAGTATTCAGTCTAAAAGCAGACTGATATTAGCATTTAAACAAAGCCTCTCTCCCTGTAAATCTAACTAGACAGGCATAGGAAATAAATAAAAAAGAAAGTAAGTGTTAAATATAAGTCATGGTGTTAAAGTCACCAGTGCTGAATCATTGGAGATAAAACTTAAAAATAACTTGGACAAATTCCAGCAAAATATTAAAATTCGGAAACACTCCAAGTTTATTAGAGATAACAATGATTTCAAGAGTGGGAATGTATATAAGAAAAATAGAAACTTTAGGAGGAGCTTTTCTGAACCTATATCTACATCAGAATATGAGACGAGTGGTTCGGATTCAGAATCAGCAAAGGGGGGACCTTCAGTTCCATTTGAACGGAATACTAAAAGTATATTAAAAAGGGGGGTTTCTTTTTTAGGACAACCCACCATGGAAGAAAATCTAGCCCCACGGACAAGCAACAGAGGCAGACCACCCCAACAGTTCAGAAGAAAAAGATATTAGATCAGGCCCCTTTTGATAATCAGATTATCAATCGGTCTTCCTACACTCCCACAAAAGTTGAGCTACAGATCTTGCAACGGGGTATGTCCTTTGTCCCAGTTTCTAATTTTGACAAATTTGGTTGGACAAAGGACATACACCTTTTTGCAAGAAAATTGGCTCTGCACAAATTTCATCAGATGAAAGATGATAAAAGGGCCAAAGATCTAGGACTACAAGCCTCTGATATAGGGGCACTGGATATATTAGTTGATCTGCTCACCTGTAATGAGAATTCTACACAAAAACAACCTCCATTCACACAATTGAAAAAGAAAAGCCTGTTCACTCCACATCTAGTGGATTTCAAGTACATAGACCTATTTGTGGAGTTGACATGCAACGAAATTGATAAAATCAACCAGAGAGACTTGCCAATTCAGCCTAATAGCAATATATCTCCACAAGAAAGTATTTCACTTAAAAAATTGAGAGATATGGAGGAGGTGATTTTTAAACCCTCTGACAAAGGAGGCAACACGGTCATTTTAAACAAACCAGATTATGTTTCAATGGTTCACAGACTAATTGGAGATAGGGAGACATATGAAATATTAAAGGGTGACCCTACACAAAAATATCTTGCCGAATTAAAAACAATTCTTGACACGGCATTGTCCTTATCCCTAATATCCAAGGAAGAATATAACTTCATGTTTGTTAAGAATCCTGTCACCGCTACATTTTATGCACTTCCGAAAGTGCATAAACAGCAACCCATACTAAATGGAAGACCTATAGTCTCTGGTAGAGGGAATCTCACCCAAAATATAAGTCTTTATGTTGATCAGATCCTAAGGAAATTTGTGTTTGAACTCCCTTCATACTTAAAAGACACTAAACATACACTAAATATCATAGAAGAGATTAAAATTACTGGTCATGCTATCCTTTGTAGCCTCGACGTGGAGAGCCTCTATAGCTCAATACCACACGAAGTGGGTCTACAACACCTTCGAGCAACTTTGGATAACAAACCAATGTTTTCCCTAAGACATAATGAGTTTGTCCATGATCTGATGCAGTTCATTTTAACACACAACCATTTCATCTTCCAAGGAAAATACTACCACCAGGTGAGAGGAACGGCTATGGGGACGGCTTGTGCCCCCTCATATGCTAACCTCCACCTGGGGTGGTGGGAGAACAGTATGGTGTTTAATGAACGTATGCTAAAATATACAAAACATATAAAAATATGGAAAAGATACATCGACGATGTACTGATCATTTGGACAGACACCTCTGAACTCTTTTTAGAATTTGTCAACAATTTAAACTCAAATCATATTAATCTGAAACTGACGAGTGAAATTGGTGGTAATAAAATTAATTTCTTAGATCTCACCATTTCCCTGTCAGATGGAGGGGTTCTTACATCTACCCTCTTTCGGAAACCCACGGCAACCAATAATCTGTTGAACTGGACAAGTTACCATCCACCTTCCCTGAAAAAAGGGATTCCAGTTGGACAGTATGTACGATTAAGACGCAACTGCTCTACCGTAGAAGATTTTAAACTGAAGGCAAAGACTTTACAATATCAGTTTAAACAAAAGGGGTATCCAAATAAATGTTTAAAAAATGCATACAAAAGGGCACTATTGGCAGACCGTAAAGATCTCCTTTGTGAGAGAAAGGTAGACTCAACACAAGAGATTATCAGATGTATAGGCAACTTTGACGCAGGCTGGCATCAAATTATGAGTATCCTTGATAGGTTCTGGCCCCTTCTTCATCAGGATCCTCACCTTCATAGGGTGATTACACCCAAGGCATCAGTAACAGCAAGAAGGGGGCGTAATATCAAGGATATTCTAGTCCCTAGCCATCTCAAGACAGCATCTCCAAAACCCTCGTGGTTGAAGTCTCCTGTACTAGGCACATATCAATGTGGTAGGTGCAAGGCGTGCAAATTCATACATAGACCATCTAAAACATTTACAGACTCTTCAGGCACACAAGAATTTAAAGCACGTACTTTTTTCAACTGTCAATCTAAGGGTCTAGTATATTTACTTATATGCTCGTGCAATAAGTTATATGTGGGAAAAACCTTTCGTAAATTTAAACTCAGAATTAGGGAACATGTTAATTCAGTTAATCCCGGAAGACAAATTGATACTCCAATTTCTAAACATCTCAAGCTCTTTCATGGGGGATCCCCATCAGGGATTAAATTCTGTGGCATTGAAAGGGTTACATTGGGTCCAAGAGGAGGAGACCTAGACAAAAAATTACTCCAAAGAGAGAGTTTTTGGATTTATAAACTCAAAACATTGGCACCATATGGGTTAAATGAGGGCTTTTCCTATACACCCTTCATTGATGCTTAGTTCCCATGGTAATTAAACATACTCTGTTTTCTCGCCCCCATCTCTTTCTTATGACTCATATACGATATGTTTGTATTTACATTTTTCATTCAAATAGCTGATTATGTCAGATACACTTGTAAATTTTGTAGTATAGCGTGTATAGTGTTTATCTATTTATATGTAAATATATCTAATTAATTTTCCTTTAGTAATTCTTTTATTATTTTGACTATTTTTTGTAGACATGGATGTCACCTTACGACCATATTAATCTCACGTTCCATACACACATTTGTGACAATGGTAGATCGGCATACCTTGCTCTGTGTGTTCTGTAGGTCCAGACTCCAGGTGAACACTATGGAATATCTATATTTATATCGAGACATCTGAGCACCTTAAGAATTTGGAACCCATATACTCAGTTAGCTCCTACCTTGTACTCATACACTGGATACCATGGGGAGGTTTTCATAATGAGTTGTATTATCAGAACTGAATATTTACCCTTTATGGGTTATCTGTCTGTAATAATATTTGGTTTCAGGAGTCCTTGTTTGAACCACCACTACCATTCTTACACCGGAGCAATCACCTTGTATCTTTATGATCTAGATATTTTTCGTCTTAGTGTGATATGTGTGCTATATTCTATAGAAGAACACAGTGATGGATGTATTAGGGGGTATCTAGGGATGTTCCACTATGGACTTTTTTGTCCATATACAAATCCCTGATTTCCCCTCTACTTGTATATTGGTAACTTCGATTTATTCTATTTTATTTTATTTCATATTTATTTTTATTTTCTTCAATGTCCTTGAATGCGTCTTTCAGCTTGTTGTATAGCCGCCCACCTACTTGTGAGAGGCGGAGCAACATATAGCTGCAATAGAGGCTGGCCGCAATATTTACATACCTAATGACGCCCACGACGTGACCCTGCCGGCTTTCCGTCCAGCCGGCTAAAACACATGATCCAGTATACCCGGTCACGAGTTCGGCATTTAGTCCCGCCCCCAGACGCACTCCGTGATGCACCAGGACATGAACATGGTATTGGAGATTACACACAGCTGGGTATGTACACCCCCAGCCCCTATTGGTCCAAGACATCCATGCCTCCTCATAACTCTTGTATTTAATAGACCCTTAACTAGTCTTCTGTTGGCCCCTGACGAAGGTGCTCCTCTGTAGCACCGAAACGTACGTCGGGCATCTCCTTCTCATATCTTTCATATGAGCACTGGGCACTGGTGACTTTAACACCATGACTTATATTTAACACTTACTTTCTTTCTTATTTATTTCCTATGCCTGTCTAGTTAGATTTACAGGGAGAGAGGCTTTGTTTAAATGCTAATATCAGTCTGCTTTTAGACTGCATACTGATCTGTTTTTCATCGTCTATCTCTCCACTCTACCTTACTAGCTCTACCGTGAGCATCTTTTTAGATCCTAACTTTTGACATTTTGGAGTGGGGTAGTCAGTTGGGGACATAGCCGTCTGCTTTTCATACCCCTATAGTGCCATTATTTAATAAAGCAGATAATTTAGGGTTTATGATAGCAATTTGAATGGCTCAATTTTACCCCCACCTATACCCCCTCTATCAGGCATGGAATTTGAGTCACATTTGTATATACTTTATTTAACTTTTTTGTTTTTGGGTCTTTAGTTATTTTTCCATTAGACGCTATATTGCGATAGACATTTCCAGATGTGTGGTTAGTCCCTATGACATAGGCAGACGAACCGCATTGTGCTTTATATCTTCCTTGTTGTTGTTCTTGGGGTTAAGCCCCGTTTGGGATCTCTGGAGTCCCATATTGGTACACTGATCTCTGTGGGGCACCTGTCGGTACACCCTGGGTTTTACCTACGGGGGATAGTTCTGTACGGGTGTATACACAGAGACATTTGAACCGTGTGTTCATTATTCTTCTTTTGATGTAGATAACAGGGATATGTCTCAGGCAGGCAGCATTACACACATGGACGTACGGTGTGATGATGATGATGATGTTGTACCCGCTGCTGCTTCCTTTGCTGAGTTGTCAGATACAAGCGAAGCGGTTGATGATGACGATGCGTCCATGGATGTCACGTGGGTGCCCGCTCGTCAAGAAGAAGAACAGGGCGAAAGTTCAGATGGGGAGACAGGGAGGAGGAGGAGACGAGTTGGAAGCAGGGGGAGGTCGTCGCAAGGAGCTAGTGGCACAGTCAGACAGCATGCATCGACACCCGGGGTCAGCCCGACAGCACGCCAATCAACGCATGCTGTGTCCACCACCAGAATGCCGTCATTGCAGAGCTCAGCAGTGTGGAATTTTTTTTGTGTGTCTGCCTCTGACAACAGCGATGCCATTTGCAACCTGTGCCAAAAGAAACTGAGTCGTGGGAAGTCCAACACCCACCTAGGTACAACTGCTTTGCGTAGGCACATGATCTCACATCACAAACGCCTATGGGATCAACACATGAGTACAAGCAGCTCGCCTACTCTAAGCTGCCAGCCTCCTCCTGGTCCAGCATCTTCAGCCACGTCAACCACTGCTGTCCTCCTTGTCCCCTCTCAACCATCCGCCACTCCGCCTCCCGCCTTGAGCAGTTCACGCCATCTTCCCACAGTCATGTGTCTGTCAAGGACATGTTTGAGCGTAAGAAGACAATGTCAGAAAGTCACCCCCTTGCCCAGCGTCTGACTGCTGGCTTGTCCGAACTATTAGCCCGCCAGCTTTTACCATACAAGCTGGTGGAGTCTGAGGCGTTCAAAAAATTTGTAGCTATTGGGACACCGCAGTGGAAGGTACCCGGCCGAAATTACTTTTCGCAAAAGGCAATCCCCAACCTGTACTCAATTGTGCAAAAGGAAGTAATAGCATCTCTGGCACACAGTGTTGGGGTAAGGGTCCATTTGACCACTGATACCTGGTCTGCAAAGCATGGTCAGGGCAGGTATATCACTTACACTGCTCATTGGGTAAACCTGCTGACTGCTGCCAAGCATGGAATGCATGGCTCTGCAGAGGAGTTGGTGACACCGCCACGACTTGCAGGCAGTCCCGCTGCCACCTCCTCTACTCCTCCTACTCCATCCTCTTCCATAACCTCCTCGGCTGAGTCCTCTTCTGCTGCTGCGCCTTGCTCCACATCAACGGCACCCCCCCAGCTCCCCAGGTACTATTCCACATCCCGGATACGGCAGTGTCACGCCGTCTTGGGTTTGACTTGCTTGAAAGCAGAGTCACACCGGACAAGCACTCCTGTCCGCCCTGAACGCACAGGTGGAAAAGTGGCTGACTCCGCAGCCACTGGATATCGGCAAAGTGGTTTGTGACAACGGAACAAATTTGTTAGCGGCATTGAAGTTGGGCAAGTTGTCACATGTGCCGTGCATGGCACATGTGTGTAATCTGATCGTACAACGCTTTGTGCAGAAGTACATAGGCTTACAGGACGCCCTGAAGCAGGCCAGGAAGGTGTGTGGCCATTTCAGGCGTTCCTACACGGCCATGGCTCACTTTGCCGATATCCAGCGGCGAAACAACATGCCAGTGAGGCGTTTGATTTGCGACAGCCCGACACGCTGGAATTCAACACTCCTAATGTTCGACCGCCTGCTCCAACAAGAAAAGTTTACAATGAATATTTGTATGACCGGTAAGTAGGGACAGCTCTGGGAGCTGGGAATTTTTTTGCCAATGCTACTGACGCCATGCTAATGCCTGTAGGTCTTCATAGCCTTTTGAGGAGGTGACAAATTAGTCAGTCGCACCGAAGGCACCATCAGCATATCATACCATTTGTTTTCTTCCTGGAGCGTGGCCCCAAGTAAGAGGCGCTGGACTAGGCCGAGGATGAGCCGTGAAGAGGAAGAGGAAGAGTTGTGGTCACCATCACCTCCAGAAACAGCCTTATCAGCATCGCTTGCTGGACCTGCGGCAACGCTGGAAGAGGATTGTGAGGAAGAGGAGTCAGAGGAGGAATGTGGCTTTGAGGAGGAGGAAGAGGAGGAGCAAGACCAACCACAACAGGCATCCCAGGGTGCCCGTTGTCACCTATCTGGTACCTGTGGTGTTGTACGTGGCTGGGGGGAAGAAAATACCTTCATTGACATCAGTGAGGAGGAGGAACGGGAAATGAGTAGCTCGGCATCCAACCTTGTGCAAATGGGTCTTTCATGCTGTCGTGCCTGTTGAGGGACCCTCGTATAAAAAGGCTGAAGGAGAACGACCTGTACTGGGTGTCCACGCTACTAGACCCCCGGTATAAGCAGAAAGTGGCTGAAATGTTACCGAATTACAACAAGTATGAAAGGATGCAGCATTTGCAAAATAAATTGAAAAGAATGCTTTACACAGCGTATAAGGGTGATGTCACAGCACAACGGGAATCTAACAGGGGGAGAGGTGGAAGTCATCCTCCTCCTCCCATGACCACGCCTGCAAGGACAGGACGCTTTAGAGACGTGTTGTTGATGGAGGACATGCAGACCTTTTTAAGTCCTACGCATCGCCACAGCCCTTCGGGATCCACCCTCAGAGAGCGACTCGACCGACAGGTAGCAGACTACCTCGCCTTAACTGCAGATATCGACACTCTGAGGAGCGATGAACCCCTTTGACTACTGGGTGTGCAGGCTTGACGTGTGGCCTGAGCTTTCCCAATTTGCGATAGAACTTCTGGCCTGCCCCGCTTCAAGTGTCCTGTCAGAAAGGACCTTCAGTGCAGCAGGAGGTATTGTCACTGAGAAGAGAAGTCGCCTAGGTCAAAAAAGTCTAGATTACCTCACCTTATTAAGATGAATGAGGGATGGATCCCGAAGGGACTGACACTGGGCGATACATTAGATTAAAAAAGGCCTGATGAGATGAGCTGCCTTGGGCTAAAAATGGTCCACACGCTGCCGTATTTTAGCTCTGAATGCCTGTTGACTTGCGTGACTGATCCGCCACCAAATTTGGGCCCAGCCATCTTTAGGGCACTTTCTGCCTGTGAAATAAAACATCAGTTAGATTGAATAGCAGTTAGTTGTCTCAAAGCGGTGTGTCAGCCCTCTACAGTAATTTCCGCCAGTAAGCTGCCACCTCCTCTACCTCTCCTACCTCCATCCTCTTCCATAACCTCCTCTAGTCCTCTCTGCTGCTGCTGCCTGCTCCACATCGATAGGGGCGAACAGTGATTAAAACTGATATCAATAGTACTAAAACACACCACTCACTACTGGTGTCACAATAGCTTGGATTTAAAACAAATTATTTTTTTCACTGTTATAGATTGAATAGCAGTTAGTTATCTTCAAGCAGGTGTGTCAGCCCTACAGCGTGTACTCTGCCAGTTTACAAAGTGCCAATTACATCATACCACCAGAATGTCACATTGCATTTTCCTGCAGTGTGGCATTTTTTTTTGTGTGTTCGTCTTCTGACAACAGCTTATGCCATTTGCAACCTGTAAAAGAAACTGAGTCGCGGGAAGTCCAACACCCACCTAGGTACAACTGCTTTATGTAGGCACATGATCTCACATCACAGGACTATGGATCAACACATGATTACAAGCAGCTCAGCTTCTACTCTAAGCTGCCAGCCCTCCTCCTGGTCCACAGCATCTTCAGCCACGGGCCAACCACTGCTGTCCTCCTTGTCCCCTCTTCAACTATCCGCCACCTCGCCTTCTGAGCAGTTCACGCCATCTTCCATAACCTCCTCGGCTGAGTCCTCTTCTGCTGCTGCGTCTTGCTCCACATCAACGGATAGGGGGCGTAACAGTGATTAAACTGATGACAATAGTACTAAACACACCACTCACTCACTGGTGTCACAATAGCTTGGATTTAAAAACA